TGGACACCCTGTTAGAGGTACACAAGCCAAGGTCTGGGGAACAGGGAGCAATGGAGTAAAGTCTGTCTTGACCATTCTCTATTTTTCAAAGTTACAGTGGGCTTGCATCCATTTCTGGGAAGGGAGTGCCAAGATAACACGAGTGATTGTACAACTTAATTAGCCTCATATGTTTTATGTCCTTTTCTTATTTCTGTAATACCCTGTAGTTCAGGGATGTCAAACATGCAGCCCAGGGGCCGGATCAGGCCCCCGGAGGGCTTCCATCAGGCCCGCAGTGGAACTGGCCATCTCCTGCTTCCAGTTCTGCTGCTGCTGCATCATAGCTTGCTTTGCCAGCCTCTCTTAATCACTCAGCCATTTCATGTTTTAACCTGGGTCCTAGACTCAGAACTCTGAGCATGAGATTTCCGTGGTGAATGTCGATAAATCAAAAGTAGGTTTGCAGCTTACAGAGCTAATGTTTTAAGCATGTTTTTATTTTAAGTAAAAAAAAATCTTTATGTTCGTGTCCTTTATAAAGTTTATATCTCTGCTACCTGGCATTACATTTTATGACACACATGGCCCGGCCCGACAAGGTCTCATTATGTCAGGTCCAGCCCTCGTAATAAATGAGTTCGACACCCCTACTGTAGTGGGTAATTACTGTACTCCAGGGACAAGCACTGATCACTGCTGTGCAATTAAACGGTCACTTCTTTGTCTCTCAGGCTGTCAAGCGCTCTCTCCATCTTCTGCGCTCTGCCTGTTCAGGAGAAGCCAGCAATGACCATAGGGTCGCCAGGTCCCCTGGGAGAGCGGAGGTTCCCATGCTAAAAGGACCCCCAATCCGCCGGTCCGGATCTGGCCGGCGGGGGGAACCCCACCCCCGAAGTGGCCAGATCGGGCTGACGTGCCTGGCGTGATGACGTCGCCCAGAAGTGACGTCATCACGCTGGGCACGTCGCTGGGCAATGCTGTAGCAATCACCCTGAAAACTCTGTGGTACCAGGGTGGTTGGTAGAGCGTTGCCCGCCGACATGCCCAGTGTGATGGCGTCACTTCCGGGTGATGTTGTTGCGGCGTGCGCAAATGTCCCAGAATGGGACTCCCGCTCCCCCGCTGCAGCCGGTAAGTCACTTGGCAACCCTAAGTGACTGACATTCTAATCTCTCTCCCATTTCTTTAGTCTCCTGCCAAAATAAGCAACTCTTGCTCCCTGACGCTTCTTTCGCTGGATCTGCTTCTAGACCCAGCTGCTCCGGCAGGCGTTCAACTGGTGCAGGGTCTGATTCTTCCATTTCCTCATCCTTGAAAAAGAGCTGTTTCTGTCAGCATTCTTTCAGCCCCACCTACCTCACAGGGTGTCTGTTGTGGGGAGGGGAAGGGAAAGGAGTTTGTAAGCCGCTCTGAGACTCCCTTGGGTAGTGAAGGGCGGGGTATAAATCCAATCTCCTCCTCCTCCTCCTTCTCCTTCTCCTTCTTCTTCTTCTTTGCTTGTAGCACTTCCACCAACTTCAGCTGATTGGCCAAATGAGTTTGTTCATGGAAGCATAAGATCTGGTTGTGTTGAGTGTAGTCATGTTTTGATCATATCTAGATTAAATTACTTCAGTGCTTTGTACATGGGACTACACTGGAAGACTGTTCCATAATCTCAGTTGATCTAAATGCAGCACCTAATTTGCTGATTGAAAGAAGTTACTGGGAATACCTTTTACCAGTGCTGATAGAGTTTAATTAACTTCTAACTAGCTCCTGGGTCTCCCTAAATAGTATTAAAACAGTATGGGTTGATTTAAATCACTTCATCTTAAAAATACTTCCTAAATAAAAGTGCATACTAATTGGTTGCTGTAAGAACACATTGATTTAAAACTGAGTAGAACCTTCATACAGCCTCAGAATATACTATACATTTCTTATAGTTAGCTGAAATACCCTTTCTGTTTTAGAAAAAGCTGTTCTAAGCTCTTAACCCATGGCTCACAGCCTGTGGCATTGTGTGGAGACAGAGTACTCTTTTTTCCTGTTGGAAAAATGGACAAAAATACAAGTTAAATAATCTGTTTAAACTGTATTTTTGTCAACTTTTCTTGTCCTGAAAAACACAAAATGCTCTACATCTTACAACAGCACTACAGATAAGATCAGAATTTCAACAGCCAATCCATATGCAAAAGAACCTCCTCAGGAAAGCTCCTCCATTAGCGTGTCACAGCCTGGGAAACTCCTGCAAGATAATGACTCAGCCTTACCCCACCTTCCTGGGTAGAATATAAATCACCTGCCTACTATTTTTCTTCTCACATTGACACGGAGAATACTCCATCTTTCTGTGTTATACCTCTGAGGATGCATCATTCACAGCTGCTGACGAAACGTCAGGTGCTCCAATGTCAAGACCACAGCCATATAGCCCGGAAAACCTACAACAACTAAAGACGTCCTTGAGTTCCTAAGATAACTAATTCAGATTCTGTTTTAAACCTGGTTATCGTAAAATGATAATCTCTTTAAAAAGTTTCAGCTATAAGTTATTTTTAATACTTCTTAAAATCTAATTTGTAGCTGCTGTCCTTCCAGTGATTTCAGAGCAACTTGCATGTGATTCCCAGGGTGTCCCATACCTGGCAGCTGACAGGGCAGGCCTGCTCTTAGTTTATCCTGCTTGGTGGTGGAGGCAGGGTATCTTGCTTGCTCCCTGGCTGTAAAGATTCACAACAGAAGTATGCTTCACCTTCTGAAGTATGGTGACCAGAGAAGGGGACCTCTTCTGTCATGGTGCACTATTTGTGATAGTCATTTCCCCCACGTACATACCCAGCATCTAGTCTTTTGTGTTTAGATCGCAGGGGGGAATCATTTCTGTTTTGCCAGGCTTTTGATGTTGGGTGTGTTTTCTCCTTACCCTCTTGATTGGTCGTGCTGTCTTGTGGTGCTGCTGCTGATTTCATGGTTCTATTGGTTTTAGTGACTATTGATGATACCGTAATAGTTTTTGTAGGGCTCTTTTTGTAGAAAAAGCCCAGCAGGAACTCATTAGCATAACAGGCCACACCCCCATGTTACCAGAAGTGTGGTCATCCAGCCACACCCACCTTTTGCTTCTTATTCTGTTTACCTTGTTTGTTGTCAAAGCCCAGGGCTTTTTTTGTAGCAGGAACTCCTTTGCATGTTAGGCCACACACCCCTAATGTAGCCAGTCCTAATGAGTCTCTGCTGTTGGGTGTGGCCTATTATACTAATGAGTTCCTGCTGGGCGTGGGCAACTCAGGAGCCAACCGGAACTCCGTTCCTGTGCGTTCCTGCCCAAAAATAGCCCTGGTTTTTTGTGTGGGAAGCGGCCTTGAATTTGGTTGGGAGACGGCATAGAAATATAATAAAAAGTAATAAATGCCACCGCCCGTGCCGTATCCCAGTCTGAGCATGTCTGTCCTGTCTTCTGGAGCAGTCTCCGTTCTCGTACTGAGCTCTCTCTTTACAAACACACTTGATTTGATAATACATTACAGGTGAGTGCAGTTCAACATAAGATGGAAATACTTTGATTTGCAAATCTCCCAGGCCCTTCAGTACATCCTCCTGTATTCGGGCTTAATGAGTCTCTCTTCCTAGGCCCAAGACCAACCATGTCCAGCAACCCAAGAAGAAGAGGAGGAGGAGGTGCGGGTGCTGACTCTGCCTTTGCAGGCACATCATGCTATGGAAAAAATGGAGGAATTTGTATATAAGGTAACTGGCACGCAGTCTTAACTGGTTTAGGTGGTCTGAGCTATTATTCGTTGAGGTGAGACAGCAGAGTTTCTAGCACATTGTATTGGGCCTTTCTCCTTGTTCTCTTCCCCCTATCACCTCCTTTCATGCAAATGATATTCTGCATGTAACAGCTTTAGTGTGGTCATGAATACCAATTGTAGTGCTTCATAAAAATGTGGATCAGATGAGCGGTTTCTTGGCAATAAAATAACTTTCTGCTGGAGATCCTGGAGACAACCACCTTTGACTAATAAATTGGAACTTACAAGAGGTGTGGTGTTTCAGAGGTTTTAATGAAGTGGTGGTTCCCCCTGAAGAACCATTCACTCTGCTGTGGCCAGGTATGCCTTGGAGGCTCCTAATTCACTTTCCTATGTAATACAATAGTGTTGGCATGCGGCTTTGGGTGGGAAGTCCCACTGCACCAACTACTGGTGCCATCAAGCCCAGCCTGTGGGCAAGGGGCAAGCACTTAACCGTATTTCACAGGGAAGACAAATAAGAGTTCTGGGACCTCTCGTTCTCTGAATATAAGAGCCCAAGCTCTTAAATTATTATTAAGATGGTGTCACACGCCAACTAAGCTTCATCATATCAATAAAGATTACTCACCTTTATGTTGGAGGGACTGCGGTGAATCTGCCAACTATTTTCACTGTTGGTGGAACTCAGGGGTCCTTTCGTAGAAAAACAGGTGCAGGAGCTCATTAGCATAACTCATTTGCATATGCCACGCCCCCTGACATCGCCGGAAGTGTGTCAGAAGGCAACACCCACCACTCAGGCTCCACTGGACTGTTTTGGATTGCTAGCTATTTGGGGGGGGGACACGTGCAGATCTGTCTTCGCAGAGGAGGGAGAGCTTGTACCTGAATAAAACTTGGTCTTAAAG